CCTCTTCGGCCGCCGGGGCCCGCCGCGCCGCCTCCTCAGCTGCTTCCCAGCACCGGAGCCGGGACAGCACCAGCTCCGCCTCCTCCGGCCCAGCGGGCGGCGGCGGGGACTACGGCGCGCGGCGAGGGACACGCGCTTTCGCAACGCGAACTCTGTCTGGGCCCGAGCAGCGCCCCCGCAGTCAGGCTCGCAGCAGCGCAGGGCCCGGGCGCCTCGCCCACCCGCCTCTGGGCACAGCGGCGGGAGACACGCTCTGGGTCCCTAATTTGGATGGCAGATTCTCTAGTCTACCCCTTTTTATTTTACAGATAGGGACAGGGGAAGTTCATTGTCCAAGGTCACGGAGCTAGAGCTTGGCGATGACTCAGAGCAGGGATCTTCTCACCAAACTAAGCTTCAGGAGAGCAGCGATCTGCCTACCTGGTTTTCAGCGGTGTCCCCAAGTGATCTGACATAGCCCTCAGAAAATGCCTGACAGAGTAGGATGACCGGCTCCCAGGATCAGGCCCTGACCACTACCCAAAGCCCATCCCTCTAGTTGCTTTTTGCCTGTGGTGCTTATGCAATACAATTATAAGATAATAAGGTTCATTTATATGCTATGTGAATAGACTCATTTCTTTGTAACCAAACTAAGTGATCTTCTGCCCATATGGTTTATTTTATGGTAAGGTCTTCTGACATTTCTCTTTACTCAGACTTACCTAGACACATAGGTGGCACTGGATAATAAACTCTAGCCGGGCAAGGTGGCTCACGCCTGTAATCCCAGCACTTTGGGAGGTAGAGGTGAGAGGATTGCCTGAGCCCAGGAGTTGGAGACCAGCCTGGGCAACTAGGCGAGACCACGCCTCTACAATTAAAAAAAAGGGGGGGGCCCAGGCGGGGTGTCTCACGCTTATAATCCCAGCACTTTGGGAGGCTGAGGTGAGAAAATTGCCTGCCCACGGGTTCGAGACCAGCCTGGGCAACTAGGCAAGACCACATTTCTATAATAAATAAATAGCTGATTATGGTGGCGCATGCCTGTCGTTCCAGCTACTTGGAAGGCTGAGGCAGAAGGATCGCCTGAGCCCAGCAAGTCAAGGCTGTGGTTGCCATGAGTGTGCCACTGCACTCAAGCCTGGGTGACAGAGTGAGACTCCAACTTAAAAAAAAAATTAGCCGGCCATGGTGGCCCATGCCTGAGGTTCCAGCTACTTGGAAGGCTGAAGGGGAAGCATCGCCTGAGCCCAGCAGGTCAAGGTTCCAGTGGTCATGAGCATGCCACTGCATTCCAGCCTGGGCAACAGAATGCAACTCCAACCCAAATAAATAAATAATAAACTCTAATTTTTTCTAGCATTGCCTTAATTTTCTCTTGAAGGAATTGTTGCTACATCCCTAATGCTTGGCACATAGTAGGAAATATTTATACATATGCATTTTTTTCTATGTGTATGGAATTATTGAGGAAGCACTGTCTGTGCATATTGTACCTTTTTTCTATCTTAAAAATGCATAATACCTTTGGGAGGCTGAGGTGAGTGGATTGCCTGAGTCCGCAGGTTCGAGACCCGCCTGGGCAACTTGGTGAGAC